AGGTCAGGAAAACAGACCTTACGACGAAAGGCTGAGAGCCATGGGGCTCTTTAGCCTGGAAAAGTGCAGGCTCAGGGGTGATCTGGTGGCCACCTATAAGTTTATCAGGGATGTTCACCAGGATCTGGGGGAATGATTGTGCACCAGAGCACCCCAAGTGATGACAAGGTCAAACAGTTATAAACTCCTCCAAGACCATTTCAGGCTGGACATAAGGAAGAATTTTTTCTCTGTTCGACCCCCCAAGGTCTGGAACAGTCTGCCATCGGAGGTTGTTCAAGCACCTACATTGAACACCTTCAAGAGCAAATTGGATGCTTATCTTGCTGGGATCCTATGACCCCTGCTGACTATCTGCCCCTTGGGCAAGGGGCTGGACTCGATGATCTTCTGAGGTCCCTTCCAGCCCTAATGTCTATGAAATCTATGAAGACACCTTATTTTTCTAAAGGGGACTCAAACACACACATCCCACCTTCCAGAATAATGCCTAAATCACCAGCTTCTGCAGGGTGAGGGTGCTCCAAAACTTGGCTGTTGAAGCTGTTCATTCCACTTCAACAAATTATTAAAGATTCATTAAGCCAGAGACAGAGCAAGAGTACTGTTCTCCAACCTAGAGGTTAGGGCACTCATATGGGAATAGGGAGACCTGCTCCAAAGACTCTTTATACTATTTTATGGACTAGGCATTGGATAAAATACTGAAATACTGCCTTAGAAATGAGATACTAGATCTAAGTGCAACATCCCCATCACCTCCAAATCTATTTTGAAAGGCATGTCCCTTGCTTCTTAATTGAAATAAAAGACTGAAGCACCTGCCTTCAGGAAAGTGTTAAGCCCTTTGACTGCCAAGAGGAGGAAAACACCTCTGTTCAGGTCAGACTGCTTTAAAGCAGGAACAAGATTTAAGACACCCCTTTTTTTCGGGTTTCATTATCATCTACTTTAGGCAACTCCCTGCTCAGTGTTTTGGCTGCTGTGACACCCATTCTACAGCATCTAACTTTCCCCATGCTTTCTTTAGGAAGCTTAGGTGCTTAACTCAACTGCCACAGATTTTGCTAATCCTCAATGAAAGTGGAAAGACTAAAACCAAAACCAGGTCTCTCGAGCTCCATTCTCTACTCTCAACCATCATTTTTTCAATATATCTGGATACTTAGATTTTCATCTATTTACAAAGGGCCCCTTGCATATAAACTTCATGAGATTTTAAATTGAGATTTTTAAAGTGATCCTTTCTACAGGAAATTAAAGCAGTATCCTGCTAATTATAACAGAATAGGACTGGTGCCAGTTACATGCCAAAAAAAATTTACAATCAGCCTGCAGGCTGACATATTTTCACAAAAACATGTTTCTTGGACAATTCACTTTAATTTAAAAAAAATGAAAACTTCATAAATTGAAAAAAATATATAAACTATTTACTATTAATATACTATTTTCCAAGTCTGTAAGCTATGGGAATGAGAAACAAATTTAGGTCACCAGCACAAGACATTTATAACTTCTTTTTTTAATTCCTTTTTAGGATTTTTTGATGACAGAAGCACAGTTGCATTTTACTCCCACTACCTATTTATTTTAATCTCCAAGATAGCTATAGAAGTACATAAGATGTCTGTACTAAAAATGTTACAAATACTTGGGAGACTTTGTTTCTTATGATATTATGGAGTTTTTTCACCACCATATCACTAATCCACCTGAGGTCATTTATTTTCTGATCAAGTTTGTTAACTTCTTTTGAAATCAGAGGAATCAACTGAATCACAATGGACACCATCCATAGTACAGAAACCAGGGTCACAGTTGGTATTGGTCTGAGCTATTTCACATACTTAATGGAAGTTTAACATTTATTAGTGGGAAAGAATCATACATCTTTCATTCTTGATGTACCATAGAGAAGACTTCTGTCTTTAGGCTCCAAAGAAAAGACTTCTGTCTCTGGGGCTTTCTATCTAGCACTGCTCAGAAATGCCAATGTCATTTATAAGCTGAAAATATACCTTGTTATTTTAAAACTATTCAGTGTATATTGTGTTTGCTTCTCATTTGTTCTAAGGTCCTTTAGCCACCATTCCAGAGCCAGACACCCACTTTAAAGCTCCTGTGTCCTCCATAGCTGTGGAAATAAGATTTAGGCTCCTTACCTTTCTCTGTACTTTAAAGTATTGTCACATACTGACAAATTCCTTGTCCCTTTACTTTTTCACACACAGTATTATTTCAGCATGTGAACTCCAATTTAGCACAGACCTTAGACTAGTGGTTCCCAACCTTTTTTGCCATGACCCACTGCTGGGAGTGGAGTGCGATGGTGGTGGCCCAGGGATGTGGGCAAGGGAGCTCCCAGCACGTGATGCAGCTTGTGTTTGGTATGTGGTGCCGCTGGCATTGCCCCCACAACCCTCATTTGAGTCACAACCTGAGGTTGGGAACTGCTGCTTTAGACATAGCAAAGAATTAACAGACTCTCCTTATGCCTGAAGAAGGGTGTTTGTGCCTGAAAGCTTGCAAAGAACAATTTTTCCAGCTATTTAATTGGTTTAATAAAAAAAAAATCACATCTACCCAAAGAACTTTGTTTGCCTTTGTCCTTAGCCCAACAGTGCTACAACCAACAACCCTACAATACCCCTTGTAATTTAAACATAGTTAAAGAGAGCAGCCACAACACCAAGAACGCCAAAGGTATTTTAAACACTTCTCACATACTTTCTCTGATGTCTTCATAGGCACTTCGACGTTCAGAGTCACCATCTGGCATCTTTTCGCTCCCTTTCTTGTTTTTCTCACCTTTCTTGTTACCATTTTTGGCTGGAGGAAGAAAATTAAAACAATTTTACTTTTGCACCTGTCAAGTTTATTTAAGAATGGCCAGCAAATACATGATAAACAAAATTACTTTCTTCTTTTGATAGTGTGCTAACCTTTCTGACAAAACAGACACTTAGAACACCCTGTTATTCTTTCCCTAGATAGCAGAACTATAAACTATACAGGGTTAAGAAATCATAAGTGTCCCGTTTGCAAGGAAATCAAAAATGTTTTACTCTTTGTAGTGACAGAATTCAGAATTGAATGTATTGGGCTGACAATTTATTTCACAGCGGTTCTCATCATGAAACATTTAAGGGCCCATCTCATGACTTCAGTCAAGCTAGATCAGAAATTAAAAGGGGTAAGAATCTTTATCTGCAATGATATGACTTCTTCCAACATAATTACCAATCTTCTGGCTCAAGGAAAGAATGCCCTCAAACTTAGTGATCACAAGATCACCATTGCTATATACCAGTATTGTATAGCATCTTCCACCTGTACCTCTTCTCATTCTGATGTATATAGCTGTCAATGGCCATCATGATATATTTAGATGTGTATATACAGAGGTAATTTATAAAGCTATAAAGCAGGTGGTATGTCTATATACATATGCTGACCATGACTATCCATAAAAGAACATGCATACACCCATCCCTCATGAAGAAAACAAATTTGTAAATATATTGAAAAAAGCTTTAAAAGCACCCCCTTTTCATTTTTATATGCATACACCCACACACAAGCAAGCCATTTTATTAAACATTGACACTATCTTTGCAATACTCCAGGCTGCCCATCCATTCTACTTACGGAGTAAATAAACTTGACATTGTGTCACACTTCTACAAATAATTTTTTTTTCTACCCTGGTTCTGTACTGTTCTTTCTTTCCTTCTGTCAGTGCTGGGAAAAATACTCAGAAGAGTTTTCTGAGTGTATTCAATTAAAATTAAAATAAACTCATGTCAGCCATGCCTAGACTCTTTGGGTGTGCTTTCCACAAACATCCAGAGAATTAATGTTAAACTCATATGTCTACAAATATACACGGAGAAGTTGTTGTATGTGGTAAGAAGTACTACTTGACACAACCATGACAATCCTCCCCAAATCCCACAGCAGATACTTTGCAAAAGGGCATTTGTTTGAGCCAAATATCTGAATTGCTACATCTCCTTGAGACATTCAAAGCTGACATGGCCTCTGGAAGTCCTCCTTCTAAGACAAATCTGGTAAAACTTAGACAATGGGCTATTGAATATTCTCATTGAAGAGGTCACCATCAGCACAATGAATATAAAAATTCTGGAGGGGATAGAGTACATTCAAATAATTAGTGAATTGATCTAAACCATAATTTACTCCCTTTGGATTACAGAAGCAGATTTAGGCTTCTGTAATGAAATCTTGATTTTTTTTTTTTTAAAGGCTTTCAACTCAGTTTGGATCCAGCTGCTGTGGAATTACTATGGAAAATGGTTTCCTCCAGCAAAATCAAAAATGTTTATTCAAAAGGTTTTTTCTAATGTTACATTATTCATTAGCGTTGTTTGCCTAGAAGAATACTGAGTAGCCAGCCCAAATGGGTTGAATATAATTAAGTACATTATCCTTCTATGCAGTATTTGACCATTCTTCAGCCTTTTTCAGTAAGCAGGATAGCATTCTTTGAAAGATCGGTACTTAAAAGGAGCTTTTGTGTTATGCGTTATTATTTAGTGGATTTCTAGAGTTGCCAACGAGGTGGTAGCACTGCTAAGTGAAAGAAAGCTCATTACAAACCACATGTTTATGTCTTTGCATATGGCTCTGGGCAATGAGGCCCTTATCCAGATCCTATTAAAATCAGTGGGAGAACTTCTGAGAAACAACTAGGGTCAATGAGTGGGTCCCTACTGTGCAATACGAAGTAAAACTTCCGCAAGAAGTTGAAAGTTACCACGCACTCCGCAGGACCGAGTGCTTCACATCCTTTTGGCTTTCACCAACTCTGCCATGCAGGAAGAGGAGCCATATGATAATGCAGCTATAAAATGTTGCTGCAAAGCCAGGTATAAGGGCTTCTTTGCTTTTATCTCACCTGTTTTTGCATTCTTCGTCCAAAGACACACTCTTCCTTGCTACAAACATGAACTGCCCATCTTTGCCTTTAAGCCCCTCTTTGTCTGTTCCCACTGTTTCCATTGTCTGTCTGAGGCTACTGATACGTCAGCTTCTGTCTCAACCCTACCAATGATTCCAACCTTCATAACTCATTTGTTACATTTTTAAGCCAGTACTTTTGTGTTTTCTTCCTTGCTCATGGCTAAAAGAAACTCCCCATAAGCATCTAAACTCACTGGCATCCTTCAGATAACTCCTAAAAGCTTTCCTTTGCTATGACACCTGCAAAAGCTTGACAGCAGTTACTGAGCCAATAATAATGCCTGGCATGCTGACTGAGAAAACCTCATTGTTTTCTTGCCATTCCCTTGTCAGCCATTGATTGTCTCTCATTTTATACTCCCACTGTATAGTACCTAGTACAATGAGGCCTGGCTTCATAAATGGGGCTCAGAAAGAAATGAGATACCAACAAACACACACGTATTTTAAAGGAGGTCATTATTGCATATGTAGTATCATGGTCTTATTTACAAAACCATAGTTCTGAGGAAAAGTAAGCACACTAGGGCACAGGTAGACTTGATATAGTTCTCTTTGAGTAAGTTTCAGGAAATACAAGTGGTCAGATGAGAAAAGCATACAACTGGCAATCATGAACGCATGAACAAATGTGCCCTTTTGGTTTGTCCCGGAGCTCAGGCACCAACAAATAAGTGAAATAAGAAATAGCTGTGTGTTGGAAACCATCCTGAGAACTGGCATGCAGATGAGCATGGCAAGCTGCCTGCTTCACTTTCCAAGTGCAGTTGGAATTACTTTATAACCAGCACAGGAACCGCAGGAATGGTATGTCTTTTATAAGACTGGCCCAAGCTTCAGAGTTTAGATCCTGATCTGAATTTTGTAACGTCAAGGCCTTATTTTCACCCGTAAGTGAGAGCAGGGCAACTATGACATTTGTTTACACTTCAGTGAAGCTTGGATGTGCATAGCTCCAGAATTTTGTTTCATACCCATCACTCCAGCACTACCTCCAGAAACCAAGCTCTCTCTCTCTCTCTCTCTCTCTCTCTCTCTTTCTCTCTCTTTCTCTCTCACACACACACACATGCACCCTCCCTTTCTGCTGAAGCTAACAAGAGTGGAGGACACTCCACACCTTGCAGAGGACATTTGGCCTTTCAAGATCTGGCACACTGGATGTACCACCATAACACTCTAGGACAGGGCTGCCCAATTTTTAAGCAGTCGGGATGGCATTCTCCTGAGGCCACACACAGTAGGGGCACCCCCTCCCTAGTGCTGCAGTGCACTTGCATATGTGCCACCCCCTCCATCATCATTGCAGTGTGTACCCAAATAGCCTCAGCCTCATACTGAGCTCTCTGTCCTACACTGTGCCCTGGGGCAGGTGCCAAATACAGAAGCCAAAAAAGGGAGGTGGAGACAAGAGATACAGCCAGAGAAATAGGAGAAATAGCAGCTTGGCAGGAGCCAGGTGGGGCACAATTTAACCCCAAACAAGCTGCCAGTCAGACTGCCCTGTTCCAGGACAGGGAAACCCTTTAACTGGTTTTGTCTACGCTCATTCCTTTGTTCTTCAATGTTGTGCCAGCACCACTTAAGACAGTCGTCACCTCTTCCATTACACCATGAATTTGACTAAGTCACAGGATTAAAGTTGGTGACAGATGACATTTGAGAAAGCTCAAATGTAATGTCAGACAAAAACAAGATACTTCAAAATAACACCGTATCGCTACAACATTTTCCTTCCAAATTCTTCCAGTGGGAATGCTGAAAAACAATGAAAATATGAGAAAGTGGATATTTATAGTTTTAATAGCTAAACACTTCAAAAACTGTGATCTGTACTGCAGATGGTCACTGAGAGGGTGTATATTAACGTCCATTAAGAGCCTGAGCAAAAGCCCATTGAAGTCAAGTGGGATTTGGATCAAATCCTAAATCAGCAAGAATGGGATTAGAAAATGCAAATCCACACATGGAAAGCTCTGTCAAACCAAGCATTTACCTTCCAAGGATGGCAATGTCCAGTTTCACTTATAAAAGTCATGGTGGCAGGGATAAGAGTGGCATGATCCTGTTACATTGTTACATAAGTTCAGGGCTTGAAAATATTGGTTTAAAAAAATGCAACAGTAAATGCCAATAAATCTGTCCTTATATTAGCACTTCACATTTTGAACAGTGCAATTCACACCATCTACAGCAATTAGCTTAAATTAATCAAGTGCACGTCACATGTAATTTGCTATAGCTTTCAGAGTGTTATGATTTTAGCTTAGCTTTGATGCAAAGCTAACACTGATCAGTACCAGCTGCTCAGCCAAGGGGCAGATCACACGGTCTTGTTCCTCTGCGTTTCTTCATTCCAGCTCAGATACAGTCCATTGTTTGCCACAACACCTAATTAATCCAACATGCACCACTTAGAGTGAGCTTCCCAAAATGTGGCATTTTATATTTGCTGTATGGCTGTCAAATTCATCTATATAAACCCATCCATATTTACACTGCTGGATTCATCATTGTTAATTATTTTTAGCTGTTTAGCACTAATCATGTGGTCACTTTTATGCATCCTTTCATATGGCCAAGTTTTCAAAAACTTTTTTATGACCAAGTTTTCAAAACTCTGTGTGTGTATGAGATCTTATTTAGGCAGCTATATAAGAGGCTTGATTTTCTTAGGTAATGAAAACCAACAATTTTACTGACTTTTTAATAATACTAATCACACTAACACTGTGCTTGGTAGAGTTTGCAATTTAATCTGCATAACTGCAAGATCCCTCTACAATCTAATGGCTAGTTATTCTGCAGCAAGAATTATGAGTGCTGTCTATACTTAACATTGTCTG